AGCTGTTGGCGCGAGGGGTGGCTTAAGCGTTCGTTAATTGGCCGGTTTACTCTAGTAGGGGGGTGTCCCTTAATAGGTCGGTTTTTACTCTGAGAGTCAGTCTGGTCGGTACATCGCACTTGTAATTCAAAGAATCATGGTAAATAGTAGACAGCAGTGTAGTGACGGGCTCGTACATGCACAGCAGTAGCCGACCACACTGTCTGAAATCTTTGGGTGTATGGCGAGGAGGGGGGCGGGGGGCGTCTGCTCGGCTGGTGAAATAAATTCCTCGAGAAGAATTACTTAGTCTATTTATTAGTCTAGCCTCGCCCTACAGAGTGCCCGGTCGGAGCCGAAAGCTGATTGATTCATTGGCTGTAGTTTGCACACAACATGTTGTAGTTCATGCATGAATACGCGAACAAACGGTATTTTTCTTCTTTTTTCAACAATAGGTTCATGCCCTCAAAACCCAAGGAGTTTCCCTATAGATCATCAGATGCTGTGCTGATTATGATGGTACGAACAGGCGAGTGAACAGGTAAGGAACAAAGCTAGACCTACGTACATCAATCATCAGAGGGAGAGAAACGTGGCGGATGATGATACGTGGGACAAGAGAAAAAGACCGCGTTTGTCGGTCATTGATCAAGCGGTCGATCGAGGCTACTACTCAGCTTGTTTTCGTAATTCGTCGCCGCCGTCGAAAACGCGTCATGAAGTATTATTGAAGATCTGACAGCTGAAACTAACTCTTTGTGCAGATCTGAGCCAATGGTACACCTGACGACGCGCTTGTGGAATCGTGGACGCTATTAGGTATGGACGCATGTGGGCGATGACCACGACAGAAAAATGCTGCTGCTTGCCATCTCAGTATGCATGCTGCTGATGAAATTTGCCACAAACAACAAGCAGGCTCGCTGTCGCGAACATATATGGGAACCGGAACCGCTGCAAGAAGTCAGTGACTGCGAGCGCACTGACCACTGACTACGACTAGTTGACGGCTGAACACCAACACAACGAACGTATGATACGCAATAATCGTGGAAAAAACGAATTTTAATTTTCGCTCGTTCATGCTATGGATTAGATTCATTGCCAAGGATTAGTGCAGTGATCTATCTTTGACTCTTTTCTTCGATAGAGATGCATTCGTTGTAAGAGTGGAGGACTCCAGAATATCTGTCGTTGATTTCTGTTGACTTGCGGACCCCTCGGGGCCAGTTTATTTGAGTGATCCTTGTTAGGGTAAGTAAGCCTGCCNATCTTTGACTCTTTTCTTCGATAGAGATGCATTCGTTGTAAGAGTGGAGGACTCCAGAATATCTGTCGTTGATTTCTGTTGACTTGCGGACCCCTCGGGGCCAGTTTATTTGAGTGATCCTTGTTAGGGTAAGTAAGCCTGCCACCACGGGAATTGACCGCGTCGAGTGTTGGATCAGTACGGACATACGAAGTTACTGGGTAGAGAGAGATCGGCACGGTTTTCAATGTGAAGACAACAACAACAACAACAACAACAAACAACAACAAATTGATCAACAAAAAATAATATATCTGGAATCTGGGCGGACTAGATCACCAAAATAAATTTCATGATCAACGTGTCAAGCTTGAACGTGCGGCTGTTGCCACTGCTGCGGGTGTTCGCGGACATAGAGGTGGGGTAGAGTCCCCCCTTACAGCAGTGAGTGATGAACCAAGGCGATTCCTGGAGGCCATTTAGGCTTACGGAGATAACTTGTTGAAAAATTGTCGGGAGCGGTACGTACTGCCATCAAGCCATCAAGGTTTCATCAAGTCGCCGTGTCGCCATAGTGCTTTGATCCCAATGTTGCGGGCTTTCTTTTGACCTGATCGACTTCCTTGGTTGACTACGCTCTTTTTACATGCCCTGGTGTTCACGGAGCCTCGTACTCTGCTAGTCTCCTGGAGTCGGGTACGAAGAGACATACAACGGTAGTGACACCACGATCACCGCCCTGGGAAAATGACGAGAGACGAAAGCAGAGCTACGGGCTGGTGTGTCGACAACTCGAAGCAGCAGTCTCGTAGAGAGGAGTCAGCTAGAAGAGAATAGTTTTTCACCAACCGCAAACTGTTGGATCTCCATCCGGGGTATTTAGCTATCCGGTAACAACCAACTCTGGATGAAATACCCCGGTTTTGTCTTGGATAATGAATAGCTGCGACCGAGAAGCCTGTTGGTTGTTCGTCCTTTTTTTTCCGAACCTTTCCTTGCGCACAACAAACTGGCGATCTCTCACACGCGCCATGACCGAAGTCAGCAACAACAGCGACAGCAGTAGCACCGCGACAAAGACAGCGGCCATGATCCATCCCGATAGGGTCGCGCCAGACCCCACGGAGGGGTGGCGGCGAGGCTCTCGCGGTCCTCTTCGTAAGTCGTGCGACACCTGCACGTCTTCCAAGACTAAGTGCCAGGGCAGCATTCCTTGTGACCGGTGTAAGAAGAGGAGGATAGAGTGCAAGTTCAGGTGGGTCAGGGGGGATGGGTGCGTGGGTGGCGGAGGCCTCTCCTTCGCTTGCCTCTCCTTCCCGGAGGAGCAGGTCGTTTCTAGATTGTTGGTAACTGCAGACAGCAACGAAGCCGCTCGAGTCTTGAGTGAATTACAAAATTGTACCTGTGGTGACACACGAAAGCACCACAGCAGTTCGCAGGAGTTGGCAGGGTGTTGCAGCAACAAGAGGCTGCGGCCGCCGAGAGTGCGTCGATTCGCTCACTTGGCAGTGAAGGCCGGACCCGTGTCGGCTTGCCTCGCACGGATGGAGAGATCCACCCAAAAGTTAGACGACCTGCCGTGGAGTGCGAAAATAGTTTCGGGTGCGGGCCGTTCAGTGTGTATCTCGAAGAAGGCAGGTTGTCTCAGAGAGCGAGAGAGGCATGTATGTACGAGAGGAGAGAAACGCACAGACGTGAATGAGAAACTTTCGGATGAGGTGTGCTTGTAGCGCGGGTTGAAGCACACCTCTGCAGCACAGCAGCAGCAGCAGCAACAGCAGCAGAATCAGCTGCAACAGTTCAGTCGGATGATCCGCCCGTGTTCCGCGAAAGTGCCAAAGTGTCGCCAAGGTCTACATTCATAGGCTGGTGTCTCTGTGTCTCTTTATCGCTTTGTTCGCCCGTCTCCGTCTTCCCACGTCATTGAGCTTCAAATCGTACATCGGTCGGAGCGTGATCTTGTGCATACGAGTGAGACACGTACGCTGGTTACTTGTCAGGCTGTTGTTACTACCTACAAGGAGCTTACACATCACAGCGATTTTACATATATGCATTGGGGGATAGAGGTTAGCAGGTGAATGCATGGGTTTGAACCCGATGCTCACTTCGACGCTCGCTCTCATCCAGAGCTTCTTTTTTTTTTTTCTTGTGATACATTCGATGATGGATCGGTCTCGTGAGTTTATTTTTATTTCCGAAAGCCCGCACATGAATAACAAGTTGGAATATGCTTATCCACGTGCATGCAAGACATGCTACGTCCGTGAGGGGTTTGCAGCTTCGTTTCTCGCATCAAGCACTACCATACTCGGCCATTGGGTCATGTCCTGCTACGCCCGCTCTACGCTCGACAGGATTGCGTGAAAAATTCCACAAGAAAAGAAGCTTTGGGTGTGTTCCGACTTGCGTGGAACCTTCACAGTTTTGAAATATCTATGCATGCCATTATTGCTGCTGTCCACCCACTGCAGCAACAGCGGACGGTAGATGGATCGTTTGTAAAATTGATTCAGGAGAAGTGTGAGGTGTTTCGTCGAGGTGCCAATTCGGTCGCTCATATTGGGGGCGAATCGAACTTCGATTCTTCTTTCTGCTGCGTGGGTAACGTTGCGTGGTATGTATAAAACGTACTAAGATCAAATGCAATGGCAGCAATACCTCTACCATGTTGGACGTAAAGAGTTCCAGACAAAAAATGTGCATCTATGCATCCGCATCCGCATCACATGACCGAGGGCGGTGAATAAAGGAGAAAAGGGCTTGTATCATTACCTTTTATTGTTACCGTTAAGTTCATTCGCGGGCCTTGTTTTATTACTAGCGTTTTTTTTTTGACACGTACCCGGCGTACCCTTCTCCAGAGAAATAAAAGCACACATCAAATCCCGGCGGGCGCTGACTGCTTCTATACCGTCGAAAATTTTCGGAATTTCACCGCCAAGCTGCGGCAACTCTCTTCTTTGTTGTGGGACCCCAAAACAACCGTATTCCGCCCCATTCCCATGCGCATGTACATACACCAAAACAGCAAGCGTCGGCGATGCGGCCCCAAGGCGCGCGCGGAAGATGAAAAGCGGCCGCGCACCGGCATGGACGCGCAGCAGCAAGCCGGCCTTGCCATCAAAGACAGCCCCGAGCACAAGCCTGCCATGCACCAACAACACGCGGGAGTGCCGCACCCGCCGTCGCCGTCCTTGCCACCCATCGGCACGATCGCGGGCCTCGACAGCAGCAGCAACAACATGACCGGCGGCGGCGGCGATGGCCTCCCTGTGTCCAACCCCAAGTTCGGGGGGCCCATGACGAGCGATAGCCTGTCTGGCCTGGTCGAGCTCATCGCGCCTACCCTCTCCGACACAGGTGGTAGCGGCAGCAGCGCCAGCATCACCGCTAGCATCAACGCCAGCATCAGCTCCAGCTGCCACGGCGGCGGGGAGGCCGCCTACAGCCACCACGCGGCGGCCGTCTCCGGCAACAACCGGTACACGGCGATCCCGGGACTGCACGCGGAAGGGGTTTCCCCTTTTCTCGGCGGGGGCGGCACGAGCCCCCCGCACCACAACCAACACGGAGCCAGCAGAGGCGGTGCGAGCAATCGGCCCGGCTTCCCGCCTTCGTCGTCGGTAGCGGCGGTGGCGACGCTGTCGAGCCTGTCTGCGGCCATGGACCACACCTCGAGGCAGCAGCCGGGCGGCGGCGGCGGTGGCGGCGCGCGGGATAGCTGCGTGGCGGCGCGGTCGGCGCCGCCCTTGGGTGCCGCCGCCGGGGGGGGGGCGCCTTCTTCGACCCCGCCGTCGTGCCCCGTCCGAGACCTGCCCGCACGGGCCAAGTCTATGGGGGACACCCCAGGAGGCTTCGGGCAGGCCGGGGGCGGTGGCGGAGGAGGAGGAGCAGGAGGAGGAGGAGGCGTTCAGGCTGGCTTCTTCTCGGAAGGGTCGATGGAGAACACCTTCATGCGGCAGCAGGACGGCGGCAGCGAGGGGAGGCAACACGCCTCCTCCGCCTTGGGAGCCCCGTTGCCGCAGCAGCAGCGGCTGCCGCCGAGGGGGTCGCTCCCGATGACCCTGGACGGCCGGTCGAAGACCCACCTCAAAACCTTCATGCGGACCGTGGGCTCCCTCATTCTCCTGCCCGGCGCCGACGCCATCCGGAGCGCTGTTTTTGGAGACGCCAGCGGTGGGGACCCGAAGCAGTCGCCGGACGCACCAATCGCCGCGGATCCCGGTAGCGCCGAGGATGTCGGGGTGAAGCGGGAAGGGCGGCCGGTGGCTGCCGAGGAGGATGGCGGCATCGTGGACGTTTTCGCCGAAGCGTGCAGAGCGGAGGCGTGGGCCGCTGCTGCCGTCGGGGCTCAGTTCAGCGGAGCCTCGGAGGAGGAGTGCAAGGACTACCAGTCTCGCGCGATGCGGGCCCTCGCTCGGTGCCTGGATGCACCGCTGCCGGAGGTGCGTGTAGCATGTAGTGTTGCCAATGTTGCCGTATGCTTTGAGAGTATTCATGCACATTCGCCCCCGCGTACTGTGTCTGTGCTGCTGGCGTAGTGTGTAGTAGAACCCCGCTGCGTTTATTCAGGTTATGTGATGCCCGCTTTTTGTTGAATATCGCGTCCCCAAGACTGAAAGTTAGAAAGTATCCAACAGAGTATTTTTAGAACAGCAACACACACATGCCCAATCTTGTACCACCCGACACACCAAACGCGTCTTGATGAACATACAGCACGCCAAAACAATGTTGTTGCTCACCACCGCTTGCTGTATTTTGTTCTGCTGGTGCTGCTTGTGGGCTGCTGCTCCTTGCTGCCGTAGCAGTTATATATGTGCGAGTGGGCGTGCTCTGATTTATTTGATGAAGCAAGCGTGTGCATAGTTTTCTGTGCTAAAAGTGGCGCCAGAGCAGCAGCGGCAATGACCCGTCATCCTGCGATCCCTCGGATGCACCGTCGTGGACCCGAATGACTGGACTTTTCTTCAGGTGGCGTCCGTGATGCTCCTTTTCTGCCTCTTCTGGATGCACTCCATGGAAACAAGAAAGGTAAGCCACCCCGACGCCGTTGGCGCGCCCACAACAGCAAACAGTGGTATCGGGTCTGTGCACAACTGCAGCACGCGGGGCTCATTGTAGCTGCTGATCGTTGGAAGAATACTTCAGGCTGAACTCGCCCGGAGCGCATACACATTGGGCTCCACAGCAGCGCGCTATTGCTCGACGCGGTCGACTACCCCCAATACGAGTTTCTGTTCGAGACGCCCGACCGTTGGTAGCGTCAGGTTGACGCCCTCCGCCAGGACGTTGTGGGACGAAACCCGCGACTCGAGGCATCTTCGTGCGGCGGCAAGGGACTGAGCGCGCAGCCAGGAGGAAAACGTGTTACAGGAGAGAGGAATGTGGAGGCGCGACTCGATGTGGTGTTGGTGAACACTACACGATGCACATGTACACACGACACGGGCCCCTTGTGTTGCTTTCGGGAGACTTGGGTCAACTCTTCCCGTTTCCTTTCCTCTGCATGGCGCGGGGCTGGCTGCACAGGTCTCGAGGTACTTCGGCTTTGCTCAGCAAGTGGGGCTAGAGCTGGGGTCGCTGATGCCCGAGGAGCTGCGACACACGATTGCCTTCGTCGCTTGCTTGGTGACAATGACCCTCAATCTGGATCAGGTGGGCCTCTTTGCCCTCAGTGTTTCGTTGGAGTTTTGCTTATTTTTTATGAACAAGCGAATTCCTGTTTGGGTCCAACGAGGGTAGTCCTAGATTTTTGGTTGATAGACCACTAGGGCTACCTCTGTACGCCTCGAAGACGGCACAGCGTTAATCCTCTGGGGGTACTGCTTTGTGCCTCAAAGATGGCTCAGCGTTAAATGAATCGTATTGGTGTGTGCTCGCTGCTGCAGGTGGGTTCCTTCTCCCTCCAAGTGAAAGACCAAGCGGTGTGGGGGGTGTCCTTACGGGACAACAGCTGCAGGCCCGGCGTTGACCCCTTTGTCCTGGCGCTAACGGCGCTCACGGTAGCCTGCAACGAGATGCTCCACGACGGGGCAGGCAGAGGCGGTCAGGGTGCCATCGGAGCCGGCGGCCTGTCTCCCCGTGTAGCCCCGTCGAAGGTACGGTTAGCGACCTCACGTTCAGAACCCGAAATCTAGGCTCAAAATTGAAGGACTCGGCCGCAAGGACAGCAGTTGCTCAGCCAAGAAGCCTACACTTTTGTAATAGTGGTCACTCTGGGTGTACCTCGTATATATGTATGCATCGGGAGAATAAGAACCGATCCTCTGCTAAAAGAAGGGGCTAAGTGCGGCTAGGGAGGCTAGCTGTGTTTGCATCCCAGCTTGTGCAGCCCATGTGTTGTGTCTGTCTCTCCGTCTCTTCGTGTTTGTGTTGGGGCACGAACTCGATGCGTTGGCTGACGATGCTTCTGTTCGTACGCCTTGTTTCCTCCTATCTCGATCTCACAGCCGTCCCCTCGGTTGTCGATCTCCCGCGGTGTATTGATGCTATTAGTCGATTTTCACATACCTCTATCAACTTCTTCGCTTCTATTGGTCCATTTTGACCTACCCCTTTGACTGTCCGTCCAACAGGTGTTGACCGACTTGCTCACGAAGGCTGCCAAGGCTCTCGAAGCCGACGCTCGAGACGGCAACCGGAACCCAGAGCACGCCCTGGCCTTGCTCCACNGGGGGGGGGGGGGGGGGGGGGGGGGGGGGGGGGGGGGGGGGGGGGGGGGGGGGGGGGGGGGGGGGGGGGGGGAGCGACTCTTCATGTTTTGCATGCCTTAGCGGTTACACCATTGACCACGCGTCCTCGAGACGACGAAGCATTTTTCCCACAGTACCGCATCAGCGATGGCCAATCGTTCCTTGCTGAAAGGGAGGGAGGGAAAGGGAGAAGAAAACATCGTCGGGGTGCACATGCTGCGGGGGCACTAGCACCTGGGACTACTTTGGACTGCTCCACCCTTGCCCGCGTAGCGTGGAAGCCTTGCCCCTCCCGAGTTGTGTGTCCCTACGTACGGATTTTGGTTTTGTATACGCGACGGGTTGTGCCGAATCATCATGCACCACCAGCAGTGTTTCGTTTGCTCTCTTGTTGACCCAGAATAACGAATACCCAACCTTACCGGCACACGCAGCCTACACGCACGCGGCTCGTGGCGAAGCCGAGGATGCGGAGGCCTCCGGTAGGCTCATGCTCGCGATCATCGACCGGCACGCGGCCGTCCTCCACCTCCCGCTCACCTTCACCCTGGCCGAGGCCTCCCGAAGGCTGCTCGCAGCCGCCGCGGAGCGCTCCTCTCGGCCAACGCCGGAGGGGGTGCACGTCGAAGCTCTGGGGGCGGCGGTGACCAAGCTGAGCTTCGCGCGCCCGACCCAAGTGGTGAGGCCAGGTGCCGGTGGTGTTGCGGCGGCGGCGGGGGGCGGCGGCGGGTGGTGCGCGTTCGGCGACGACATCCTGGCGGCGTTTGCCGCCGCTGGTGGCCGCGATATTGGTGGAGACGTCTTGTCGGAGGTGAGGGGGCTGGCGCTGGCGTGAGAGACTGGTACATGTAGCTGTTACGGAAGTATCTGGGTGTTGCTTTTTGTGTTCGAGGTGGTTTTCTTTTCTATAATAGGCTGCGGCCGTTCTTTGATTCTGTTTGGGTGCCACCCTTGTTTGTCTTGTGATACTCTTGTTTGCCGTGCCGTCTCCGGCATTGCTGTGTTGCACGCGATTTTCTGGGGCATGAACCACCGGCCAGTTGCCTTGCTCCCGAGGCGGCTCGTACTTAATGTTTGCGTAAGATACCGCACCCCGTAGACCGACTTCATCGACTTGATAAAGCTCGATCGCTTGGCAGTGAGACCATTGACGGTGCCGAAAATGGCGGCGTTGGAACGGTCTCGTCCAGAGCTTTCTCCGAAGCTGCATCAGTTGGTTTTGGCGTTTTCTTCGTCGCGGAGTACAATCGAGCTTTGAAATTCGGTCCAGGTGGTGTGCTATCTTCAAAGACCTACGGCATCCGAGGCACTTCCCCGACAGCTGTCCTTTCCTGTTCTTTTCTCACACAACACAACGCAACCCTGCCCTTCCGCGTTCTTGCTGGCCCCCCTCTGTCGACCTTACCTATCATGTCATCCCCCAGGCGACCAACGACAACAGAGATCCCCCCAGATCGGGCTCCATGTCGCCTCCCCCCCGCCGCTCCGTCCGACCGCTCTCTCGCGCCGTCATCGCGAGCCAGAGCTGGCAACCAACCACCGGCGGCGCCGCCATGCCCATCCCTAGCAGCAGCGCCGACGGCACGAGCGGCAGGGAGTCGTCGGCCTCGCTGCCGAGATGGAGCGGGGGGGG